GGGCCAGCTGGGATGTGAGAACTGAGCAGAGAAGCGGTTAGGGGAGTCTCGTCTGATCCAGTGACTCAGGTCGCTACCCAGACTACAACCAACCAGCCAGTTTGGGAGATCTGACCAGTACCCTATGCCAAGGTCCCAATCATTATTTTTCTTAACCAAATACTCTGTCCATTATTCGTGCAACACTGCTCAGACAAAAAACAAATCAGCCCTTCCATCCAAGAAACGCTGCATTTAACAAACGGTCTTTGTCTAGATAAGTCCAATGGTTTTCAAAATAAATTAGAAGTGATCAGTTCGGTACCCACTATATTAGAAAATTCATTGCTCTCCTTTGTTTGAAATATTAGAGGACTAAATGTTAACAGCTGTTTATGCATTGTCAGATTTTACTGAAATACACGTTTTGAAGCACTTCGCTTGTCATTTCGGTCACAGTAGTATTAAAATAAATCTAATAGACTATAATTCAGTTAGACTGCAATTCAGTACTGTTAACCGTTCTGCAGAACAGTGCACACAGCGGTGCTATTCACAACTATTCCTTTTTAAAAAAACTCACATGTAACGTGAGCTGTTGAGGGTCAGAAGGCAAAAATTGTCACTATATGCCTTTTTTTGATGAGACTAACATTTTTATCTCTCAGTATAGCCACAAGATAATCGAGTAATTATGTGCATACTCTTTGAATAGTATGTTTACTCCCCAGATATTAAGTGTGTGGTCAGCTGAGTATTGTGCAATGAAAACCAAAGAAAATCAGCTGCTGCTTACCACCACCCTTAGCAGAGATACTGAACTGGTCCTGTATATTCCCCTACACTCTCTTTGTAAGCCAAAAATCATCGTGGGTGCAAATCTTATTTCCGTGACAGCAAGGGCCCACATCAATTGAGAAGACTGACTTACTTTAACTGTCCCAGTGGTATTCAGCTGATCATGCCTGAATTTATTAAGACCATTTAACAGCCAATTTAATCTCTGGTTTAATCTCAAGGTTTGCCTGGAAGATGAAATTGGGCCATTGTATTTATAGCAAAATTGCAAAACCTTGAATAAAGTATAGCACTTCCCCTCTGTACTGCATTGTTCTGATCCCTGCGAATATTTGCTATCTGTGTATTTGCAAGAGTGGAGCTAATCTGTTTACTATACTTAACACTTCTAATTATTAGGATCTCTAAGAGTTCTGTTTCAGTGAAGATTATTCATGGAAGAGTGGTTATTATAAGACAGAAGGTTGATATTGACGCGGAAGATCTTATTTTCTTTATTTGACCTTGAGAAATAGCCCGAACTCGTGGCTGGACTTTTTCCTCTATAAAATGGCATTATTAATACTTTGAATTTTAAGAAGATAGTTGTAAGAGCCAGTTAGTTTATTAAAATCTGAATACACTCTTAAGGATGACTATATAAAGGTGCACATTCTTACTCAGCTGATCTGCTCTCTGTAGGTATTTAATCACAGTTAGTATCCTACTTTAACAAAATACTAGACCTCACGTGTAGACTCTTGTATGACTTCAACGAAGCCTTAATATGAAGCCAATGTTCATTTAAGCTGGTCCTGCAACTGAAAACAAAAAAAAAAAAAAAAAAAGAAAGAAGAGGTCCTCCTTCTTCCCTGGGATATTTGTCATGTCCTCACAATTCCTCCTCTGCTGTGCCAGCACGAGAATTTGGTCCCCTCTCAGTGACCTATATAGGGTATCACTGATCTGGCTGAAAAACAAACTTTCTGGAAAAGGACTGCAGAAGTGTTTTTGTTCACATACCACAGTGTTGGATGTAAGAACAAGCATTCAGGGAGAGAGAAGCACAGACTGCTTTTTGTGGGAACACTGATCTAAGTACACATCAAATTGCAACCTGAAGATACATTCATGCTCCAGCCAGCCACAAACTAAAACAACCGTTTTGAACAATGTATTGCTGGGATAAAATGCCTTTTACCAGGGCCTATGTCCAGAAGCCCAACATAGCAAAGAAAAAAAGGTGACATTCTAATCACTTACGTGACTTACCAGCTGAACTATTTACACATATTGTAATCAGGCAAGCTGGGTAAACTCATTCATGGTGATGAAGTAATACTGTCATCAAGGGAATTCACTGAACACACACAGACTTTGTAACTCATAGGTCACCTTTGAGATTGTTAGGACTGGTAATAATGAGAAATAAACCAGCTATAAGAAGAAGACAAGACTCTTGACAACCAAATCCATTCTTTGTTCAGCTACCCAGTGAACAGCTCATTCAGCTGTTCTACCACAAGGGAGGAGCTGGAGCAGAGATGAGGAAAAAGGGCCCTCACCAGCGCTGCAGCTGAAAATGCATGAGTAGAAACGCTGTTCAAAACCCCAGGCAGAATATACAGAGCTGGCAGAAAAATCCTTGTTGTCATTTGAAATGAATATGGAATTATGATAGAAAAAAGCAAAATCTGTTTAAGTTCTGACATTTTCTTTTTGTTTGTAATCTTAATACATACTGCTTGCTCCAAACCCAGTTTCTTGGTAGATAACTTTTTCCTGTCTTCTACATTCCATTTCCTGGGAATTTATGTCTGCTGAGGGAGTGGTTACCTAATCAAGAAAAAAAGTGATTCATTACTGTAAGTATAGCTATTGTGAGAGAATTATCGTAGCTGTTCATAAATTATATTCATGTTTTTGTCCCCCAAAGGAATCACAAAGCTAGATCAGAGAAGATGGATGTAACCATACTTCTGAAGAGCCCTCAGCAAATACTTCTTTTTCCCCTCTCCCATAACACTTTGCTCCAGTTAAAAGATACTTCCTTTAGAATAACCATGCTAGAAGCAACTCAAAGTAAAATCACAAACTCTGGCTTGGAACTTGAGCTGTTTTATGAGAAGTCAATCTTCACTGAATACATAAAACCATCCAAAATTAAGATACAAAAAATTAGCTAGAGGACTCCCCTCTGCCTCAAACATAATTCAGTACATTTAATCAAAATGATGTGGAATACAACATAAGCTTTTGAGAAAAAGAAAATTAATGAGAACAGCTATATAAAGTAATTTCAAGGACACTTTTAGCTCAGTATCTTGCCTAAAATGGCAGTCAATAACAGATGCCTAAGGAAGAATGTCAGAATAAAGCAATCATGTAATGCATCTTTCTTGGCAATTGCACACAGCTTCTGGCAGTGTGGTTCAGGGACTTTCTGAACCAGAGGCGATATCTTGGTATTTAATAATTGTTAACAAACATATTCATGGAAAAAAAAAATCCAATTTTTTTGGACTAATCTAAACTTTTAGTGTCCTTCATATCCAAAGACAGAGAGTTTCACAACTTAGTTATACTTTAAGCACTTTATTTTCTTCTAAGTACTTTTGTTTTCAATCTTCTACTTGATAATTGTGTTCAGGTCTTGTATTACAAAAGACAGCCATTCTGTTTTCACTTTTTCTGTGCCACTCATGTCTTTATACATCTCTGTCATATGCCTCCTTAGCTATAGTCTATTGAATTATTACTGTCTATATAAACAGTTCCTTATCTTTGCTAGTCTTTGTCACTCATCTATGTGTGTCTACTATTCCAAGAGCATCTTCCAGGTGACTCAAGAATAAGGAAACAAGAAAAAAAGAAGTGTTTCAGGGCATAAAGATTTATAGACTTGAACGTGTGGCAAAACCTGGTCTTCAGATGTCCCTGCTCATTGCAGGGGGGGTTGGATCAGATGACCTTTAAAGGTCCCTTCCAACCCAAACCATTCTACAATTCTATGATTCAGCCAGCTGAAGAAGGCTGAAGTCATGAGTCAGTATTTTCCTACATCAAGCTCAGGTAAAAACATCTTGGTTTCCATATGGCCCATATACCCACACTTTGACTTTCTTTTTCTAACCCTCCCTGAAAACTGAGAGGCACAGACTCTAGTGCTGCTGGCAAAAATCCAAAGATGGTACAGGCAAAATGAAATGTAAGTCACTTTTTAATGCACAGGTTGAAACTTCATTCAAGGTAAGGGCACCTTCCAATCAGCCCTTGCTGAAGCCACCAAATCTCTCACAAAGCCATCCTGGTGTGGTATAGCACTCTGTCAGCTTTGAAGACCAACAGCCTTAGAACCAAGCAACAAGGCTCAGATTTGTTCCCTTTAATTTTATGCACTGGCCTAAGTCACCAGAGTTCCTAGCGGTTATCCTAATTCCCTCTGAACTGTTTCCTGGAGCTACTCATCTCTTACCAGGTGGGATTTTAGGGAGATTAATCTATGCAGTAAGGTGAATCAGGTGTCTAAAGTTAGATGGGGTGGCAAGGTCAAGCACTGTGAAGAACATTAATTTTATTTCTTGTTAAGGCTCAAGTGCATTCGCAAAAGCATCTCAAACAGCGAAGAGCTGCTCTCCCTATGCCCACAAACCAAGTGCAATACTTTCAATAGTAACAATGTGTCCTGGTTTCAGCTGGGGTAGAGTTGGTTTTTTTTTTTTTTTTTTTTCTAGTAGCTGGCATAGTGCTGTGTTTTGGATTTAGGATGAGAATAATGTTGATAACACACTGATGTCTTAGTTGTTGCTAAGTAGTGCTTACACTGGTCAAGGACTCCTCAGCTTCCCGTGCTCTGCCAGCTGCACAAGAAGCTGGGAGGGGGCACAGCCAGGACAGCTGACCCAGACTGGCCAAAGGGCTATTCCGTACCGTATGATGTCATGCTCAGCATATAAACTGGGGGAGTTGGCTGGGGAGGAAACGCTGCTTGGGAACTGGCTGGGCATCGGTTGGCGGGTGGTGAGCAATTGCATTGTGCATCACTTATTTTGTATATTTTTATTTTATTATTAATTATTTAACCTTCCTTTTCTGTCCTATTAAACTGTCTTTATCTCAACCCATGAATTTTACTATTTTTTCCTTTTTTTTCCTCGATTCTCTCCCTCATCCCACTGGGGAAGCGGGCAGTGAGCAAATGGCTGTGTGGTGTGTAGCTGCCTGCCGGGTTAAACCACAACACAATGGTATCATTACACAAGCCTAATAAAAGGGGTTTAACCGCTGCTGTGTTTGAGAAGGAAGGTCACAGGCAACTGGAGTCACTGCTGACTAAAACAGTGCCATACTTGGAAGGAGCGTTTGCTTCCTACTTGAAGCAGAGTCGTTCAGCACTGAAAAAAACCTACACCAGCACTCTGACTATTGATTGCCCAATATCAAATTTCCCATTCCTGAACACGATCACAGAGAAGCTAACAAAGCTCAGCTGTAGGATCATTTAATTAAAGCAAGGTTGGCTGTCAAAGCATGGCAAGGTATCTCACTTCATTGGCCATTAAGGACTCGATTCGGTGCCCAACCACAGTTGTCTAGGGCCATTGAGATGCCCACAGTTTCCTATGTGTCTTTACCCTGCCATTTCATAGGGTTTGGGGTCTGTTTCTTTCGTTCCTGTGTCGTATCTTGCAGCCCTGTCTGGGTGTTTTGTGTACCCCTGGGCACTTCAAAGAGCACTACATGCTTCTGTAAGGCCCCAAGAGGTGGGTCACCATGGAAAAACCAACAACTCATTACTCTTTTAAAACAGGAAGGTCATGGCAAATTTTTGTATTTGTCTCCATCTCTTTATTCCCTTCTCTGGCCAGCCCTGACGTAGGGATACCTTTGTTGGCTTGGCTTTGGCAGCCTGCTGGCCATCCTCACTGAAAAACAACAGCGGCAAGCAGGAGACAGGGCAAGGGGCCCTCGCCATCGCCCTGCCCTCACAGGGCCCGGAAGAGTCCACACAGCAAAGGAAGGAAAAAAGAGGGTCAAATCAGAACAATAAGCCTTGAGGGAGAGGAGAAAGGCCTGCCACCTCACAGAGCTGAGCCTACAAATGACTGTGAGTTGCAGCCACAGCTCGGCCGCTCGCACAGGTGGGCCAAGGGACGCGGACACCACGGCCAGGGCCAGGGCCAGGGCCAGGGCCAGGGCAGGCCGCACGCACCGGTAGCTCACGGAAGGTGAAGCACCCGCCCCGGGCGCCTCCGGGGGCGAGAGCCCGGCCTACAAGCCCGGCTCCTCGGCGTCCCGCCCTCCTGGGAGGCCACCGCCTCCCCCCGCCCCCCGCCCCGCCCC